GTCAGCAACCCACTCGGTTGCCTAATTTATTCCCCGCTCTTCTATCATTCATTCTAACCCCCCTTATTACAAAGGTCCTTAGGAAATATTTCCAATCTGGTTCCTCCAACGATGAACAATATTGTTGTAATGAGGGTCTTCAAATGGCACTTGATAATGTGGAGTCTCGATAGTTGAGGTAAAAAAGGTCGGATTTCCATTGTCCGTTTTCCCTGAGGTATGCCTCATATATATATAGCTCCTCAGTCCATATTCTTTTCATGCCTTATCAAGAATAACTCTGCTGCCTAGTTTTAACTCTGTTGTCTAGTAGGCAGCAGCTTTTGTCCCATATCACCGTACCTATCAACAAATATAAAGGGGGAATCCTTCACAGTCTTCCCGTTCCTGCCTTTGGAACTCAAAAATAGAATATGGCGGTTAGCGATACTTACAGGAGATCGAGTCATTGAGTTACGGCTTAAAAACAATATCATTACTCCTACATCTACATACCACCCTATCTTTTACGTTAACAAGGAATCGCGAGACGAAGCATTCCTCTCCGCTGAACGATTGTCATTCCACAACGAGCAACAATATTTTACTCACTAAATATACGTCACTCTAGAAACTGACGTTCTGCATCTCAACTTTTCATACCAGCAACTGTGGTCTTTCGATTCCTATCCCGACGAGCCCAGCGACCACGTTCAAGATGAAGTGACCGATGCCCTTACCATCCTTGCATCGTTTCTGTCCAGCAGTCACAGGACCAAAGTTCGCCATATTGCGATCAATATGCACCAGTGGCCCGGCATCGTCCAGCTTCGGTCTTTTTTGGATGCGCTCTACAGGTTTGCTAACTTGGAGACCTTGGTTGGCGCTTTGGAAAGCGACCATGTGAAGAACCAACGCATGTTTTATTTTCCGCCCTCGGACTTCGAAACGAAAGCTAGAATTGTGAAGTCGGCTATGCAGAATGCTCTCGATGCTGGCGATCCTCAATGGAAACGACCTGAGTTGACAATTGTTTGCCATAAAGAGGAACAAGATGAGTTGTTGAGGGGATCTCCGGGAACGTACTGGAGAATATGGGCCTAGGAAGGCAACCAATGGTCTTTTATTTGATGAAATCCCTACTCATTCTACTATAGCGTTAAAGCCCCTAAACACCTCCGAGTTATTTGCGTCTCAAACTGGCTCATCCAGTCAAGCTTTCGGTTTGATGGTATGCACATATAGCTTCTTCTCCTGAATCAAAATTCTTCCAATCCTACAGAGATACTGGGAGACTGGAAACAACTCGGCCAGGGGGGGGGGGTTGTGCTTTCCACCTAATGTGTTCGCGGTAACCCTAGAGGCTTTCTTATATCTGAAGCGGCATCTGTTCCCCAGGAATCTCAACTTCATACTACCATTCCTACCTAACCATCGTTGTTTACTCTTCTCTATCAATCAAAATACGGCCAAACCCCTTATCGCTGGTTGGGTTTGGGCTATAGCACAATTTTCTTTCTCCTGAAGTCTGAGCAGTTCTATAACTTGAACCTTCGACAACATTACTACACAATACTAATCCCACAGGGATTAACTCGATGCTCTTGAGCCCCACAGATCAGGACGTTGATTTTGTAGACAGGTGTGTGATTTCAAAAGTAACTAAAATTTATATGTGTTAGGTATTATCCACCAATTCTCTCATTAACCAATAAAACCTGTTTTCTATCAGGAACAAGCCTGTTAGGTATTGTTAGCGAATTCTGGTCTGGGTGATAACTACCGATATATTTTAATTGACGATAGTCGTTAGTTAAGCTGTCTCATTAGTACTCCAAGAGAATTAGTGAGCAGTACCTAACGGATTTTTGTAAACAGAGCATATAGTTTATAGAGTGTATTTTAGGGGAGTCAATATAACGAAAGATAATCGAGGAGAACGTATACTCCTCACGCTTCTGCTCGAAGTATTATAATAAATGGCGTAGGACAGAACAGTTTTCTTACGCGAGTGTTACTCGGACGAGAACAAGGTTTCCTACCTCCCATACTATTATCCATCGAGTCCTCGCTCGAAAGCAGATAATAACAGACACTACCACGAACAACAACCACAGGCCAATGGAGACAGGAGGCCAGAGTAAGGACCATCCTCCAACCGCTTAAACTTTACCGCTTAGTTCAAATTCCCTAGGTCGATGGACTTAGTGAATAGGAGTGGACGGTTAAGGTTCCTTGTCGAATTAAATATTCCACGATATAGTAGTAGTAAAATCACCACCTCTTTAATACTACGAGGACCAATAGTGGTATGCTCCGGAAAGATACCGTTGTGTGCACTAGTCGCTGTATTTCAATACCGAGAATTGCTCCCATCCGTTGAAGAAGGTTGAATGCGATTGCGATAGGGGATTCGCAGCATCTTGGGGCTCTCTTCATTTCGGAGGCATCTTCTGGTGAATTGTTGTAATCGACAAATTCTTAGTCACCGACGGCAATCCCACTAGATTAATTGTATCAAAAGTATAATCTTGCTCTCACACGAAGGCGAACGAATTCAAGATTGTATGCTCAGTATTTGGTTACCAGTCGCTCGTCGTACTGTTGTACTGCATGAAGCTAACGCCGGTATGGCATTGTCTAGGTTGCTCCATTTCGATCTCTGGCAAGCTGTACTGATACTAACTAACAATCTCATAAAGTATATCCCTAGGAAGGCTTGAGGATCTTCTCTGCGCTCAATGTGGGGTTCTGGCATTTCGTACTCGTCGTCTGATACTGCTTTCATTGGTTCGTCAGCAAGCTAGCAGTCGTTCGTCCAGGAGCTAGCCGATACGTTAACATCTTCTGCGAGAGATGGTAATAGTGGCTTCCCTATTACCGCAAATACGGTGTTCCAGCCTTTGTTCTCCAGAAGGTCAGCGAGGAATGCTTCTGTGTAGAGAGGTAGTATAATTCTATGAACTTCTCTGATTATGTCCGAGAGTGCTACAGTGTAGGTAGTAAGTAATTTACGATGTGTAGAATCAGACACATTATCTAAGAGCAGGGCTATTTACTCCACGTATACCTAGGACTATTGTAACCCGGGTATCTCTATGTAGATTCAGGGAATCTTTATGAAACAAGAAGAAGAATTCAATAAATAACCAAAGATTAGACAAGAGACTATGCCCCCCTTATATTGTTTTAGGTTATTACCCGTCCTAGATATTATCGACTATAAGGATATCTGTCCTGTTAGTTCGCTAGATTTGGTGTTTGTAGAAGGAGGTAGTTTCGGTCTTCTCACTTGTTGCCTCAGTACTATTATCTAGGAGGCAAGGTTACTTGCTCAAACCACTTGAGCCGAATGTCTAGAATATCGGGAGACATTGCCCGGAGACTATTTGCCTTGAGGTTCGCGAGTCTTAAGAGCAAGAACTCTTGGGCTATATGGCGAGAAACGATCAAATTAGACACAAGGCGTATTCTCTATTCGGAATATTTGGGGTCTATATGCCTCTTCTATATAGCGAGGGGAAGGCATTTATTTGCCTACAAGAAGAGCTCTTAAAAGACTCTGACGATTGGACAATCATCGCTGTCTCAATGAAGTGTACCATCGGTCTAGTTTATTCAGGCCGCTTTTAGCGCCTTTTGTGATAATCATGGCCCCCTTTACAGTTTCGAAATTCAACGAAAATTCGAGTGATTATTGCAACGTACAAATCTAGCCTCCATTGCGACTGACCAAAGCTACTACTCTAATGTCCCGCTTAATGCCCCCAAAGCCTTCCCCATGCTCTATTTGACTGCAGAAGACGTGGGGGTCAGTTCCGTGCTGGTTGTAAGGGCAGTTCTTGATTGTCTTTCACTCGGGCGAACAATCTACCAGAATATCACTAACTCTCCGAGAGATTTACGTCAAATATTCTGAATATGATGAGAGATGACATACAATCTCTCTTCCTAATTAACACATTGAGATTAGATTTTGCTTTTATGGGTCTAACTTTCTGCCCAACTCCGCCAGCTTTAAATTCTCGGCGATTTTTGCGTCCTTGGTTCTCCGGTCGAATGTCTCTGAGCAATACTAGCCGAGGTAAGTGACATCGAGCAGGTGTGTACGCCTTGGGAGATATGCTGTCGGTGCGTATGAAACATTTAGTACGCATTCCACTATTTAGAGACAATTGAACCTGTTTATAGGACTTGGTTGGGTTATTTTGACCATGTTGACTCCGAATAACCCAAAAAAAAACCTCTACTATAAAGAAAGTAGAGCTCGGCGAGGCTTCGATAATCCACGAACTTACCTCTACACCACTTATATCCTACCTGCTACTATACGAGTTTAGGAAAACACGACGTGGGAAGGCCAAGGGAGTAGGGGGAGGAAAGAGGGAGACTATTTATATATACGATAAGACTAGGACCTCGTCATTTACGCCGCGTATACCTACGACCAGAGAAACGATCGGGAAGAAAGATCGGTAAAGGTTTAGGATCCTAGGGGAGGAGCAGAAGTAGGAGTATAACTTTCTTTCGAGCCTAAACCACTACTATCTCTTAGAATACTAGGTTAGATTTTTTAAATAAGGGTATATGTTATATAGGCTACTCTATACTCCTGCCTAAAAGAATTGTTATCTACTAAAGGTTATATATATATAGACACGTAGGATTCTAAGATATTACTATTTATTGGCCCCGTAGATGAGTTTCTAGGCTAGGATTTAGACTAGAAATAGTCTAGCGCCCTACTATATATAGTCTTTGACTTACGTTAAAAGGAAGAAATAAACAACTAAGCATCTGGAGCTTTTCGTACAAATTCTGCCTGGACTTGTAAAAAATATTTAGCTAATAAGCGAAGTTATAAGAAAGCATGAATCGTGATTTGAGTTCGGTCTCCCCCGTTGTTAGTTGGTGGTGGTTCGCTAATATCGACACGAAAAAGGCCGCTACATCCCTGGTTATTGAGAAAGAAGACAATAAAGGACACATAAAACGACAAAAAAAAAGGCAAAAATTTCTGTCTCCCTCGGGTGGGCTCGAACCACCAACCTCTCGATTATTCTGCAGGTATAACAGTCGAACGCGCTAGCCAATTGCGCCACGAGGGATCAATCGCTTATTGCTGGTTTGTAGAAGCGATCTCACTGTTACAATCTATCATCGTGCACTCAAATGCGGGGAAGCTGAGTAAGAACCGAGTTTTATCCGCCGAGGAACAACCTCAATTCGAAGTTCGATTCTATAAGATAATTGGTTTTGCTAACACTGACGAGTATTCAACCAGAGGTATCGAGTGTCTAAATTTGCTTTTGCAAGCTTCTTGTTCTTTCAAACCCTCAGCTGTTAATGGTTTCCCTGTACTCGTACCCCTCCATGCGTGAGAAACTAACTACAGACCACAAGCTCATCGTGGAGCTTAGAATCACAAGATGACCTTTCCATCGAGCGGCCTTTGCCGACGAATTGCCACAAGCATAACTGTTATCTAGTTATTCCCACAGTTTAACCATAACTTGGTTCCAGATTGAGTCATTTGCGCCTAGCTCATGACATCTATTAAATCACGTGTCGGATGGCAACCTAGGCTGAGACTTGACAACTCTCCCCAAATCCATCTCTCACACATCAGACACGACACCGAACACCCTATACTGCCCACGAAAGACAAACAAACAACCACATTACCCCGCCAAACGATGAACTTCATCCACAGCACCCTCGACAAAGTGCGAGAATGGGCACCGGTATCCCACACCTCGACATTCCGACAAAATGGGCAGATCACACCCGAGGAATTCGTCATGGCAGGCGACTACCTCGTCTTCAAGTTCCCGACGTGGTCCTGGGCCGACGCCTCCCCCGAGAGCAAGCGCACGAACTATCTACCTGCGGGCAAGCAGTTTCTAGTGACGCGGGGTGTGCCATGCCATCGGAGGCTGGATGATAACTTTGCGGGGGATGCGGGACAGGAGGAGGGGATGGTGGGGGATGGGGAGGATTTTAAGACGGGCGGACATTCGCCTGGGGATGATGAGGATGGGTGGTTGAGGACGGGAGGGTTGGCTGCGAGTCAGGAGGCAAGGGCGAGGGATGTGAGGACGGTGGATGAGAGTGGGAATATGGGGGAGAGAGAAGAGGACGAAGACGAGATCCCAGATATGGAGGATGACGATGATGAGGATGCTATTATTCGAGATCCCAAGGGTGACGGTGCTGATTCGTATGTCCTGCCTACACCTCTACCAAGCCCCAAAGACAATATCTAACTATTGGGAATGCAGTTCTCGACGAACTTACACTATCTACATAGCATACACACCTTACTACCGCACCCCCCGCCTCTACCTCTCCGGCTACCTCGCCAACTCCCAACCCCTCCCCCCGCAACTCATGATGGAAGACATCGTCGGTGACTACAAAGACAAAACCGTCACACTAGAAGACTTCCCCTGCTTCAGCAACAACATCAAGATGGCCTCCATACACCCCTGCAAACACGCCAGCGTCATGAAGACGCTCCTCGACCGTGCAGACGCAGCGCTTAAGATCCGTAGAGAGAAACTACGATTGGGAAAGATAGCCCCAGGCGCGAAGGATGCCGGTATGGAGGGCTTGGTTGATGATTTCGGCAAGACGGGACTTGGAGGTGATGACAAGAAAGCAGTTATGGACGGCATGAAAGCCGGCGGAAATGGGAATGATGAATGGGAGGTTTTACAGCACGACACTGAGGCCTCGGACGAGGAGGTTGCTATTCGAGTTGACCAATACCTCGTTGTTTTCCTAAAGGTAAGTCTTCGGCGTCCACTTCCACTTCAACAACATGTTTCGAGAATCCTTGCTGACCCCCTCTAGTTCATGGCAAGCGTCACACCAGGAATCGAGCACGATTTCACCATGGGCGTCTAAGTTTCATAATGATGCGGGCGTTATGGATCAAGACGGTATATTGGATTGGGATGGGGCGGCAGACTTTTTGGCCTTGAGGCGTTAGGGAGGCAGTGGTTCATATGCGGAATATTCGTAGAATGAGACATGATCACATGATACCGAAAGAATATACTGAGTGAGATGTTGGCCATACTTCTCATACATACCTCAGCCCCTCAACACCAACTATTAATTAATTACAGTCCCGCGTCCCCTCTTAAGATTCCGTCCCCTCCACCCCCCTCTCCCTCCCCTCCCTTTCCCTAACCCTCATATATTGTTAACTTCAGCAACTCACATCCCAGAAGCCTACCTAACTCACAGGAACACTAACCATCCGATTGCTTCTAGATGAACAGATATGATCTGACACTTCGAGAGCACGAGGATGATGAGGCGGGAAACATGTCTCGACGTCCCCAATAAAGTCACTTGTCTTCCTGTATTCTGGCCAATTGTAGTACCCGAAACCCTTGGGTCATGAGTGACGCTCCATCTTTTGAAGGGCAACACAGAAACTCATTCACTAAATCGATGAAGTTTAAAATCTCTGATTTCCATATACTTTCAATCCACGACCACAACGCTACGTACAGTTCCGGTCCCTTGCCACTGTTTCATTTTCCCCTTTGTCCTACATCCCCTCCAACTACATCCACCCCTTCGACCTCACACAAGATACAACACAAGCACTACACAACTATAGCAGGCAAAACTCAGCAAAAAGCCAAAAAAAACAAAGACGCCAAATTAAAATGCCCAAAGGTGTATCATTCCATGTTCCATTGCATTTATGCCACCGCTCTCATTTATCTCCACCCTGCCTACGACCTATCCTTCGGCTCGCCCGACCCATTCCACTTCCATCTTCCATCCCGTCTCCCTCTAGCCTCCTTCTGTGGTCGATTCAATTCCGGAAGACTTGCCAAAGCTAGCTGCGATTGTAAAGCAAAGCAAGTTAACAGGAAGCGAAATTCCTAGCCATGCGTCTCCAGCATCCCATTAAATGTCCTGGCACAGGCCCTTCACGCAACCACAATGGTCGGATTTCTCTGAAGCAAAGCCTAGCCAACCTCAAGCGAGCAAGCCCTGTCGAGGCAAGCAAACAACCGTCGAAGTAAGTAGAACCAAATAAAAAGCAAAACGCTTCAACTCCCACCCAACCACATGCCTGACTCCCCCCAGACCCAATCCACGGTACTTTGGTGTTGTCCAATAGCGAGTTTTATAAGCTGTGAAGAAAGAGATTAACAGCGCCGCTGTCTTCGATCCATGGTATATGTAACAAACGGGGTTTCGAGTTATCGATGCTAGATGGTAGAGATTTTGATCGAGAAAGTGGCGGATGTTGAAAGCGGAGGCGGTATAGGTGTCGAAAAACAAACGAAAAAGCGATCATATCACATTGACTTATTACATAAACTCCACACTCCGTAAAACCCGCTCGTGTTTCGATGAATTCCGTAGAAGTGGTCGATTGATCTAAAAATCCAAATTCGGCTCTTTATGCTTATAACAGAATCAAGTAATTCGATGGTGCGATTCCGGTCTCGCCCGTCTCCTTCTTTGCTTGCCACCATCTTCCGCTCACGTCTGACACTTCTAATACCTCGTGCTTCGAGAATGAGATTTCGTTGGCATCTTCTGGGTTCGCCTCATATGAGTATATGGCCTTCGCTCGGTAGGGGTATTCTGTCGGCGCCACGACTTCTCCGGCTGTCGGCTCGCTGCTCATGGGACCATTTGTTCCTAGGTTGCTAGCGGGTGGAGGACCTCCAAATCTTGGTTGAGATGAGTTGCGCTCTGCACCAACTTGACCGCCTGGGAATCCTGCGACAGGTGACGAAGTCTCGAAGCCACCGAGTTGAGCGGAGGTGTACATTTGTGGAGGAACGTTAGAAGAGACTGAGGTGACTGGTCGGCCGCCCGCATATCCGTTTGTCATGCCCCGTCCACCGGAAGACGCTCTATGATCCTTGTGAAGCGCGAAAGAATCGAGGTATGCACGGGGGACTGCAGAAGGGGTTGATCCGAAGTAGAAGATCCAAACGATCTAGTGATTGTTAGCACGTGTCGATAATTCATCCATGCGCAGGAGGCTTACGTTAACCATAGAAAGCAAAATGTGGCCGGCAGCAGTTGCCTCCTTTGCACCATTTGAAGAGTAGATTGTAGAATTAACAGATGAGCTCGTCAGGACCAGGCCACAAGCAAGATATCCGACGATTGCAACGTGATATGTCTGGGTCGTGTCCGATGCAATGACCACGAATACCCCAATAATGGCGCAGAGCATGTACGCGATGGCGAACCACGAATAATTTGGGAAAGCTGGATCTAAATGTTCGGCCGTCGCGATAACGGAGCCAACGAAGGCGATAAACCATGCGAGCTGTTCACAGACGTGTTAGCATTCAATTGACTTTGGAGGTTGGAACTGCGGCGCAGCCAGCTGAGATGGAGTACTCACCATTGCAATCGACACCGTCGCCAGCGCGAAAGGGTCGCCTAGTATATTGTCCATACTCATGGTCCTCATGCCTCCGGCTCGTCTGCCTTTGCTGTCCATACCGCCGTTCATTTTCCGGAGCGATGGTGAGTGTAGCGATCCGTACGATGGCATGAAGGAGGTCGGGTTGGAGGCGGGTCGGTCCTCGTGGGTTAAATTAAGGTGTAAGTGTGGGATGAATATAAGTCGCCGACGACGTGACAGTCGATTCAACCGACGGTGGATGATAATTGCGAGATGGTATGAATAGTGGGTATCGAGTCTATCGACGCAGAGGAAAGTCAGAAATGATGGATGGGAGGTGCTGGGAGCCTGGGAACGGGCCCAACGGGGGTCGTCGATGCGTTTCAGTTGATCGGAAGGTGGCTGGACCGACCCTGCTGCGAGCAATGCTCTCGGCTCCAAGACCAGAGCGGCGAGACTAGGCGGGTGATAGTACAGTACAGACCGGCTTGTCAAGACTCAGGGGATGATTGACGACGAAGCAGCGATATTGAGGTTGTTAGACGTGGTGATGGGTGAGGGGGGTGGAGTTTTTTTCTTGGGGGAGGCGCAGACGCTCGAGGGGGAAGGTGAAGAAGGATTAATGAGGTGTGGGTGTGGATGTGGTTGTACCGTTGTGGTTGTGGTTGCAGAGAGTCTTATTCGTTAGAGGTGGACCTAGGACCG